GCAGATTGAGGGCCTAGAATTAACATGACTTACAATTTTAGCTGTGGGCACATTATGAATATAACAGTCTTGTTATTTGGTTCAAAGGGCCAAATGAAGTCTTTTTGGGAGCAGATGCTATAAGTTTACTGCCTTCTCTGATAAACTGTTCAAAATTAGGGACAGTTTTAACTGAACATTATGGGCATCTGACCTTGCCAATTAGATCACACGTGCATAAGGTGTTGTTCAGGTTGAAAATTCTGATTCCAATATTTGTATACTCGGCTTGACCGTTGTGAAATATAGTAACATGCAAGTTAAGTCTACTTAAATTAATGTTATGTTGCAAGGGTAAACAGAAAATTATACATACTTTCTTGATGAATTCTCAGAGGCTATTATAGGAAAGAGGAGGAATAACATTTGTTATTATATCAGTGTTAAGCTTCACTTTTAAGCTAATTATTTTTGGCCTGATATGGTAACAGGTACATTACAGTATTGTTGCACCTAATAATTATCAGAAGCTAATCATATTGTTACGACAGCGGAAGTCGCGTGACGCTGGGAGCATGCGCGCTGGAGTTTCTAGAATTATCTGGGAACCTCGCGAATCTCCGAGTATTTGCTAGACGCCCTCTTTTTTAGTATATAAGCCCGGTAAATAAAGCCAGCGATAGGAGAGATATAGATAGATAATTGAATCAAGCGAACAGTAAGCACCATAAGTAAAGTTGTTAGTGTATTACAAAGTTTGTATCGAGAAAGAATAAACTAGTTTTAATTAAGAAAAGACTTGTATTGCTGAAGTTCCTCGGAAAGAATTTATACCGGAAATTAACAAACAAGCAGATACGCAACAATATGAATGTTGTTAGCTGTGACTATATGTGCTTGATAGGCTTCATGTCTGGTTGCTGGCCTTATGGTTGTTTCTTATGCTGAATAAGCAGAAGTTCCATCTTGCATGAACCGCTGCTTTGTCTGGTAGGCTGATCATTGGCATTGACAGATAGAGTGTCGTGCTCTAAAACTGTTAAGTATTAGGCAGCAGTGACTGGGCCTTTGCATACCACCAACTGTGATTATCCAACTAACCATGACACCCCACACTATGAGACATACTACCATATTTTTTCATGGCTTGCAGATGTTTCAATAAAAGTACATAGAAGAATACTTGCGAAACCCAGATGTGTCTACTGTCCTAGAGTTGCTCCAATCTGGACTTGGAAAAGGTTAGTGTCTCAAACAGAAGGAGGATCTGATAACATCTTTGATGCTCACTGCTGTTGACTTACAGCATTGCCAAGAGTGATGAGTGGGTTCCATCTAGATTTTCTGCTACTGTAGCTCATACTATGAGTATAAGTTATTATGGTATTTTGGCAACTTGTGCTTGTTTTGCAAGAGAAGTGATCATCATAAATACTTCTCCCAGCATGAAAAAGACTGAAGACATTCTGCTGGTTTTGGAATCCTTGGCCCTGAAGAAACTATTGTTTTCTAATGTGACTAAAACTGGGAACAGTATTATAGGTGACTTGGCAGTTTATCGTTGAATTTAACTGATGTCCCATTGTCCAGCTGCCCGACCTTGTGAAAATAATTATTTTCCCGGGATCCTTTCTTTGTAGTATGGCTGTTTGTATTCTGTGGTCTTTACCAAACTATACGTGTATTTACACGGCATATTATGTGATGAAGATAATCAAATTTTTAATTCGTGCCAGGATTTTGGGGCCTGAAAAACATACTGGGGTGGTCAGAAACTTTTGCTTCTTTTCACCCCGCGCGGTGAAAAGGTTAATACCAAACGAATTTTGATAGAGCTACTGGGCTTGGTTTAATTTTAACACATAGGGTGGATTGTTGAAAGACGTGGGGAGACGAGGAAGATGCCGACCCAAGCGCGCCTGGAGAGCTGTGAAGAGACCTTTGTTCTGTAGTTGGAGACGAAGACGTGAATTTTTTTGTTCACGTGGCGATGACGTCACTCACTCGTAGAGAATTGGAGAGGAGATGCAAACTGAGTGAACGCAATTCTGTTTGAATAGACAAAAAAGCTAAAGAGATAACATACGACGCCAAATTAACATAGATTAAGCGCCTAAACAATATAAAAAACAAAGTTTGGCAACGCACGCACTATGCCAAGAGTCTTAACGGGTAAAAATTGCGGAGCAACAGCTGAAAACATTTAAAATCTACAAAACATACATACGACCAATGATAGAATATGCATCACCTGCATGGAGAAATGTAACACCAAAACAAAAATAAGTTACAAACACTACAGTACACACTACTTACAACAGCATACAGAGTGCCTAAATCAACATCCTCCACATTCACGCACAAATATGCAAATATAGAAACGTTAACCGATACTCCTACGTAATTCGCTAAAGTATTTGGCGAAAAATTGGCAAAAGAATGATCTGCTATGTGAACTCGATCGTTTCTGCGTTCATGATGAAGATAGTCCAAAGTACATCTTCCCTATTAACATCTATATAAGAAGTAAAAATAAATTAAGGCCATCTAATGCTAGACAACTAAATCATCATTAATTTTAATTTACTGTGAATGCTTTCGTTGAAATTTAGAATTAATGAAAAATGTCACTTTAAATGTGAAAAATGCATCTCGAACTGTTCATGAAGTGTGGACTTTGCACAAACGGATAAAGCGCATTTAACACATTAAATATTAATATAATTACCTACATGGACATGGCCCTGAAAGGGTTCAGAGTGAAAGCGTGGACAAGCCATGCTCTGACCCTCCCAGATATATAAGATCTAAAACACGATGCCGACAAGAAAGAGAGATATATTAAATAATTAAAGTGAGTCTGATGACTTGATAGATTAACAGCCCCTTTTCAGGGGGGCTGAAATAAAATAAATCCTATGCCATGAGAACTTTAGATGCAGGGGGAAGCCAGAGTGCTCGGAAAAAACTACGTTCATGGTCAGGCACTGAATAATCTACCTAATCAGCCTAAGTTCATACCCCCGATTTGGCGGAGGAATGCCAGTCTTGTGCTCGTTTTCTTGAGAATATTGGTGTAGTGGGGTTACCATGATTCCTAAAAATTTGGCGGTTGTTTTAAAGGTGATAGAGGTGTTGTATAATTGTAAGATGACTTGTCTATTATTTTTGTATTGTCTTCCTATTTTCTTCTAAAATGATATTGCCTGTCTTGACTGGATTGGCCCCAGTGGCACAGCAGTATGTCTGCGGACTTACAACGCTAGAAACCGGGTTTCGATACCCGTTGTGGGCAGAACACAGATAGTCCATTGTGTAGCTTTGTGCTTAACTTCAAACAAACAAACAAGCTTTATTGGCTTGAGAAGTACTCTCCGTTTGTTACACCATTTAATTAATTAATTAATTTAATACGTTCTGGACTCTGAATGCGACAGTGAGTCGATCGCGTGATGTGCTCCAGACAGCAACGTCATCGGCATACTGAGAGATAAGGGTATATATATTAGCTGCAGGAGCGATATGTCATTTACGAATAGAAGGTAGAGTAGTGGGCTGAGGACAGAGCCCTGATTTTAGTGGGTATGCGTTGGACATGCTGTTGTTGATTTTAACTTTAGCAATTCTATTAGTGATAAAGCTAGAGAGCCAGCTGGTGATGGAAATAGGTATCTTGTTTTTAGTTAACTTATAATTTAGGTTCGGTATCAAAAAGCAATGGGAATCATCTGCCTTCATACCCGCCAGATGCTCTCTTTCAAAGGGCTTTTTCGACGCGGTCGATTCCCTGTAAGGAGAATTCCCCTTCCGTCTAGGGTCACCCTTAAACGTAAAAATGAAGATAATCAGCTTGTATTCTCAGAACATTATATTTAATTATTGATAGACTGTGTATGGTTTGAACCATGCATTAAGAAAATAACTGAGCCCTAGAAATAGTTTTTCTAAGTTAGTCTATCTTGATCTTATGTTGTACTTTATTAAGTAGAATATTAT